CTGCTAGGAATTCGATATACGCGCATGCGCAAGATTTCGTGGTGAGTGACGACCCATCCTAAAAACATTCGTTCCACAACCATTGAACGAACAACAGACGACAGGCTTTCATGTGTTCTGTTGGGTACAGCTTTAAGATTACCTCACAGAGGCACAGCCATTTAATCTAGAATATTATCGCAACACCCGCAGAACACATTAAAAGTGCGCTCACTACACGCTACTCTTAACTGCTTGATGTTTTCAGTCTGTGTAGTAGCGTAAAACTCTGACGTATCGAACTCCCCACCAATAGCAGCCCTCTAGTCCAGCTGATAAGTAAACATTCCCCCAGCAGGGTTATTCTCGTGATCTGTGGTCAGTAGGTGCGAGGTACGCCTGAGACAAAGACTTTGCAGTGGCATGTCCCAGAATGCATCCCACCAGCCGCGATTTAAACCAAACACTTCTTTGACTCATGTGCCAAACTGTTTCCATTTCCTCCACTACGAGTTATGTCTGCTGGCAAGTTCAAAATTTCTCGAACGAAGTTTCCATACAAAATGCCAACTCCCTGAGAATCTCACTGGACTAAGCAAGAGACAGCAAGACTTTCTGTTTCCTGGAGACTGAACGCCAAGGACAAACAGTCAGTACTCGTGTTTCGTATCCGGAAGGCACAAGGTTCAAATCTCAGTTCGGGAGTTATCTATCTCTACTGAAGTTTCTCGTGGTTTTCCTCAATCCCACCAGGTACATTTCTGGACAGTTCCTTAAACTCGGCCCCTACCGATTACATCCAAACTGTTTTCAATTCATTATTCAGTAATCCTATTCGCAAACATCTGATGCTATATAATTTTATCAACTTGAAAGGCATCGTTAAATACGAGGTGCGATCGGAAAGTTTCAAGACTGTCAATAGAGGGCGAACCGGATGTAGTACGAGCTTCTGCCACTAGGGGGTGCGGCCTACATTCATAGTGAATCAGTGTGCCAGCCGGCATCATCGAATTAGCATTTGTTTCTTAGTTACGGGCGTTTTGGTAGTGCATTACACCGACCCTCCTGCGATTTCAGGAATGGCGTGTGCATCAAATTTTGCCAAAGACTCGCCAAAACCGCTACGGAAACCTATGAAATGCTAAAGCAAACATTTGGGGAGTCCGCAAACTTTTGTGTGGCATTCACGTTTTAAAAAGGGCCGGCCGAACCTCTGTCGATGATGACGAGCGTTCTGGACGACCATCTTCGAGCACAACGCCCGAAAAAGTTACGAAGATCGACGTCGTACCATCAACGACTAATGCGACATTGTTGGGATAGGCTATGGGACCTGTCAGCTGATTCTAAAGGAAGAACTCCACATGCGACGCATCCTCTCTGAGGACCAGAAGCAGAATCGACTTCTCGTTTGTCAGGAGCTCAAAGATCTTGCAAGAACCGACCCCAACTTCCTTTCTAAGCTCCGTGTGACTTCTTCCTCTTCCCAAAGATGAAAATTCAGCTAAAGGGAAGGAGATTTGAGACGATAGAAGAGATTCAGGCAGAATCGCAGATGGTGCTTGACAGGCTGACAAAGAAAGATTTCCAGGGATGCTTCCAGGCTTGGCAGCGGCGCTGGGATCGTTGTGTTCACTCCCAGGGGAACTACTTCGAGGGTGATGGATAAATTTAATACCTGAGATAAGTGTACGAGTTTTTATACGCGCAGTCTGGAAACCTTCCGATCGCACCTCGTATGATTTCCAGGGATGCTTCCAGGCTTGGCAGCGGCGCTGGGATCGTTGTGTTCACTCCCAGGGGAACTACTTCGAGGGTGATGGATGAATTTAATACCTGAGATAAGTGTACGGGTTTTCATAGGCGCAGTCTTGAACTTTCCGATCGCACCTCGTACACCTTGAATTAACCACACAGGGAGAGTGGTCAGTTTCACTCTTCGGCTGTTATGCCCTCGATATCTGTTGAAGGGTTCCACGGGGCCCTTTGCGTTTCGTCGAGGGTCAAATACTTACTTTCGTGTACACACAGAAGGTCAGTTGCCACGTGACTGGCAATGACAGGTTCCGGAAGTTCTCTGAGCCAGAGTTTCAGAAGAGATGCAACTGTAGCAACATCTCCAGCGCCTTCCAAGTCAGCGTCGCCAGTGCGATCGAATGACGCCCGCAGACGCTCCACCAGCTTAGGATTTCCGGCCGATAAACGAAACAATCCTCCACACTTCATACCTGCATCAGCAAAAAGCAAACATAACTGCAATTCTCAGTTTTCAATCGAAAGATCCTGTAATAGGAGCTCACGCTGGGAACGTACTACGTCGCCCCACAGTGTTAAGGTAGGTGCAGACAGAGACGGCGTAAATACTGACTAATCAACGCACTCACTGAAGGTAGACTAAGCTAAGACAGTTGGCTGTCAAATATTCTCTTCCTCATAAAACGTGTATATCGCATGTCTGTCTGATCTCATCCACATCTCATTTTATTCTCGAAATTATTAACAAATTCCGCACAAACCACGTATAACCCTTAACGTAAAAACTGTGCCCACAATGAACTTTATTGGAGAACGCTATGCTAACATATTTCCGCCACATTACAAAGAACTTTTATTTAGTGTTGTGTCTGACGACAGGTCCATATGAACAGGATCCTTCCATCCTTTTCTCGGACTGGGACCTGTTCATATACGTTCTTGGCAGATGATCCAGAAGTGGTGTGCCATTGCCTTCTTCTGTGTGTGAATGGAGTAATTGTTGGGATGCCACGGAGGAAAACTCCGTGTTGCCTAGACCACGGCCTTGCCCAACACAAGTTATAAATTCGGGCACCGCCGGGAATCGAACCCGAGACCCCAGGATTACAAGGCCAGCGTTCTAACCGCTGGACCACCGTGGCGGTCAAACAACGAACTGCAGGCACATAAGTGCGCACACAACCTCCACTACCCCCACATTATGACAGACCACGTACGCTTCCTTTTCAGAGGTCAAGAGTTCAGTCTCAGGAAAGTCCATATGAAATCCCTGTAGCGCGGAGTTCTGCCCTCCATAGATTAGCCTAGAGCCCGTCACTGTCCATCTTTTTCAACCGGACTGAACATTTTTCTCTCTGTTCACTGAATACAAACACGTCTCGTGTTTACCTTCGTCTTTAACTTTTACGAATCAGGCATGATCCTTCACAGACCTTAACAAATGTCATTTTATGTGCCTAAATTATATTAACATTTGCTCTCTTCTCTGTCAACTTTAGCATCCGAAATGTCGTCACTCCTTAAGATTCCAACTTCGTCTCTTTCCTTATTAGTTGTTGCAATGCTCTGTTTATCGCCTCACGTATTCCCTGATGTCGATGTATTTCATTGAATACATCACCACATGAAACGTCACATCCCAAGCAGTTAAACATTTAACGTCTTCTATAACCGAGTTTAAAAGACGTTATCTTGCACATCCTAGGCTTTTCCTTTAAATTCCCATAAATTTTCTTTCGTCGGCGATATTTTCACATCAAAAGGTTCATTAATTCCTGTGAATGAAAACAGACACCTGCCAAATTCTCTAATTTGTAAATGACAATTCGATCTCTGGCAAAATGAAGGGTCTAAACCAGTGGTTTCAAACCTGGGGTACGCGTACAACCGGGGGACGTGAAATTTAAAAAAATATATATATTATTTTATGATAAAGACTGAATAATCAGTAATGTAATTTATTTAATTTATTTTAGATGTAGATTATATACTACGTATAACTTGAATTATACACCAACGACTTTGGGGGTACAAAGTTGAAGAGAAATTATATCTGGGGGTACGCGAACAAAAAAGGTCGAATACCACTGGTCTAAGGTATATACCGCACGTTTTCTATTCAAACAGATATTCCCCTTTTTAGTGCCAAAAAGATCCAACTACTTCGTTCAAGTTCATTTTTCTAGCTTTGTTTCTGCAAGAACTGCAATTTAGTAACTTTCCTTGTTCTAATAATTTTGAGCGCTGTTCATGAAATCGATGTTTACTTTGCTCAGACACGCAGTAGCCCAGACAGTCGTCGGCGGAGGTCTTAGTACAACCTGCAGCATGGAATGAATATTTTCACAAAGTATCAATGTAACTGCTTTGGTGCACGCGGCATGAGATCGAATTTCGCTTGAATCCTGCCTTAAGGTACAATTTGGCTGCACGCGACAGAGACAAGCGACCGAGGCAGGCGACAGAGACAGGAGACGGACACATCGCAGCTTGTCGCCACACACTTTTGAGGTGACGACCGAGACATGTGGCAAAGTGTTTGTTTTCTTTGTTTTGTTGAGACATACGTGCACATATTCTGTGAAAAA